CATCAAAGGAGTATTTATAGGAGACTGACAGAATGTACAATCAGACCTCTGTCTGATGGAGTTGCAGCCTCTTGAGAATCTGGAGGAGCAACCAATGGAGGAAGGGGGAAGGATGTGAAGGAGCAGTAGAGAGAAAAATCCCAATCAGGACTCAGTTTCAATCAAGCTGAGGATGCCATAGACATTTCTCAGAACTGTTTTACTGTTGTTTAACAATCTCTTGGTTTCAGGAATAATGGTCTCCCACAAAAATGGGAAAATACAATACAAAAAGACTGAAAAGAAAGAAAATCCAAATAACTGAAAGGAAGAAAATTTATATCCATAACACACTTCAAAATCAGCTTCCTTTCCAACCTCCATTTTTGAACAAAGGACTTCTCCTTTGTTCATCCTCAGGCTCAAAAGCTTGGGGTCATCATAGAGTCCTCACTCTCCTTCAACTTAACTAGTTAGGCCTCAAATTCCACAGATTCTTCCTTCTACATCTCTCATTCCATTCACTTACACAGTTTTTTACTGCATACTTAGTTATGCTAGTCTCCAGGGGACTTGGGTGGTAGGTATAGGATAGGACGTGGAAATATATACAGAAACAGCTACTACACAAGTCTGCTAATAACTGCTAATAAATGAGTGTCTGAGAAATAAATACCACAAAGATTTTGAAATGTGAGATGATGTCTGGCTGGAGTAATCAGGAAATGCTTGGGGGGCAGGCAGTAAGCACTCAAGCCGACCTTGAATCCGAGGTCTAACTTTGATCAGATGGAGCTAGTGAAAGGAACTGGGAAGGAAAGCATTCAGGGAATAGCAAATCCAGGTGGCTGCCAGGCACCAAAGGTCCAGGAGAGGAGTGGTAAGAGTAAGGGCTGGGGACAAGTAGTGCAACCTTTGAATGCTAGCATAAGAAGTCTTTAACCCTTAACCTACCGGTTCATCTCTCTGCCCCATCATTTGCACCTTTACATCTGACACCTACTTTCATCAGGAACTTCACTGCAAAGGTGCAAAACAAAGTTGGTGGTAGCTGTCTTTGTGATCATAGGGTGTCATGGAACAGGCTGCTGCTGTGAGTGGCTGAACAGAAAGCTGGTCTCTTTAGTGCTAACAAAACTAGACTCAGGCTGGATTAGAAAGCACATCTAATTTTGGGAAGGTTTCAAAACCCTGTCAGCCTTCAACAACATTAACCAGGGCTGTGATCTCAGATTGAGAATACCAATTTAATCCTTCTCAAATTTGCCTTCATTATATGACTCCCCTGCTCAAGGGTCTACGATGAGTTGTATTACCTACAATAGGTCATTCAAATCCCTCTGCCTGGAATCCAAGGTTATGCATAATCCAACCCCACCAAACCTTTTCAAACTTATCTGTTACTATCAACCTCCTTTCCTAGTCAGTAGGGCTAAATTACAACAGGGCTAGTGTTACAGTCTTAGTAGAGCTGAGTTACATTTAAAGTACATAATAGTTAAGGCCATTTTTTTAAAGCATAAAAAATATAAATTTTAGGGGCATCTGGGTGGCTCAATCGGTTGAGCATCCAACTCTTGATTTCAGCTCAGGTCATGATCCCAGGGTAGTGGCATCAAGCCCGGTGTCAGACCCCATGCCAAGTGTGGAGCCTGCTTAAGACTCTCGCTCCCTCTGCCTTTCTCTCTTGCTCGTGTGCGCGCGCTCTCTCTCTCTCTCTATATATATACACACACATAAATACATATATACACATATAAAATGTTTATAAAAACTTGGCAGTCCTTATTCATGCTGTATTCTTAAGTGTGTTCTGAACTTGAAAAGTCCAAAATTATTGTGTTCATACTGTATAAATGTGAAAGAATAGTCACAAATGACACTGATGTAACAGTAGGGGGAAGGTGTATGCATTATCAGTGAATGTTAAACACTTAAGATTTTACAGTTCACTGGAGATGAACTGTACACCAAAATAAACTGTAAACCAACTCTAGTTAATAATATGCCTACCAAAGTATTTAGGAGGAAGTATTTAGAAGGATATCTGCAATTTAAATAGACGGAAAGATGTATGACAAAGCAAGTTATGCTAAAATGTTAATGGTAGTTGAGGTGTTGCGTGTAGGTGTGTCTGTTATGAAATTCTCTGCTGTATGTTTGAAATTTTTGATACTAAAACACGGGGGAAATGGCATTGATAACACACTATGCTTCGTGAAGCTGTAAGAAGTTAAAATTGTTGGAATGGCAGCATCAAGCATTTGCTCCTTGATGCTTCCTTGCTGTCATGCACATAACCCACGAAGCCCTTATTTTCTGGTGTGGTATACTCTGTTTGCATGGTTATCTCTCCTACCACAGTGTAAGTTCCTGGTGGGCACAGAACCACTCTAATCTGGATTTACATACCTATTGCTTTGTATCGTGTTTGGAGAATAGTATGTGTTCAATAATGGTGGGATGACTGAATGAAAGTATAACTGCTAAGGGCCAAAGTAATATACTCTCTCACAATTCACTTTTTTCATTTCTCACCTACGCTAAAAGTTAGTACGTTCCGTGTTCAAGAGAAATGTTGTCTTTTATTTTTCCCCAAGCATGCAAAATTTCTAAAAGTAAGACAAAACTCATCTGTGTTCAGATTACTTTGTATTCTATTACTTAAACAAGTCTGAAGACCTCCTGACACTCAACAACTCTTTAGGGTTTTGTTTTGTTTTGTTTTCCTTTTTCTGAAAGTGAAGTCTCCGACTTCCAAGGACATCTGGAATTTGTTTTAAGCAAATCTTAGACATGTTGTGAGAACTAAGAGGTTCCTGAACTGGCCAAAAGCAGGAAACCGGAGATCTGAGGAAAAGATAAAAACAAACACTACATAAAAAACTCACGAAGCAAATTAATCAAGAACTTTCCGAAGAAACGGAGGGAAAGTCTTAAGGAGGCTTCGCGGAACATCTCAAACTCCCCCCAGAGCGGCTTCTCCCCTCCTCTCTCCCATCACAGCCAGTCAGAGATAGCGCCGCGCGGCCACTCCCAACATGCCACGCGACTGGAGCTGGTGCCGCGGAAGATGCTGCTTCTCACGTCAACCTCCGCGAAACAACGTGCTTTCTCGGCGGGAGCAGCAGATTCTGAACTGGAAAACCTAGGTCTGAGTCCCTGCTGCCCCACCCGCCTGATGTGCCAGTCTCTTGTCCTCTCTGTGCTTCAGTTCCCTCATCTGTGAATCGGTAATGACTCTGTAACCCCAGTTCGCGCACAGGGTGATTACTAAGATGAGGGGCGTAAAGGCGTTTTAAGGAAGACGCAAGACTCTCAATTTGTTACGGTTCTTAAACACGCGGTGCTTACAACGAGCCCCAGACCAATCTCTCAAAGTCACCGCTGTCCCTCACTCCCTTCCCGCCCGGCGCCTATGCTGAGGCCGCTCCCTCCTGTCGGCCCCATGCGGGAGCCGCGCGGCGCCGTCTGCCGTACCTGCAGCTACTTGGTCAGCCGGGCCCTCCTGCTGACCCATGACGAAGTCTTGCACGAGGCCCCACAGGGCGCCCGTAGGCGCCACCGCCTCCAGAGCGGCGGCGGCGGCCATGACGCGAACCAGAGACCGTGGGAGGGGAAGTGGGCGGTGGCACGGGATGGGCCTCTGAGCGCACGCGCCTCCTGAGCCAATCGCCTTTGGAGGGTTAAAGAGGCGGGGCGCTCCCTGGATCACGTGCCTGCCGGCTCCTGGCCAGGCAGTTCCAGGGAGGGATGGGACGGTTCCACCCCGAGGGGCGGGGCTTGGAGACGGGGCGGTGGCGCGGGGAGGGAAGGCGGCTGCTGGGCACGCAGCCGGGGGCCATTGAGGGCGAATAATTCCCGGCCCGGCTCCCGGGGAGACGGGCGGCGGGGCGGGCACCTGGCTGGGTGGGGCCGAGGGGCGGCACACACCCTGGGGGAAGCCAATGAGAAAATCAGGCCCGGCCCGAGGGGGCGGTGCCGTCGGTCACATGCACACCTGGGGCGGGCGGCGGCGGAGGCGCGGGCACCGCGAGCGGGCGGCAGGGAGCGGGGCCGGGCCAGGGCGGGGTTAGGCAGGTGAGTGACAGGCTGCGGGGGGCCGGCCCCTACTGGGAGCTCCGAGCGAGCAGGGAGTAGCTGCGGCGGTGCCCGCCCCCTCTCTCCGCCCCTCCATCGAAGCTGGTCTCCGGCCGGGCACCGTCGCGGGCCCCCCTGGCCCGGCCACCTGGGACTGTGCTGGGGAATCGGCCACCTCCCTCTCTCCCGTCGCCCGCAAAGTTTGTGGCGAAGCCGGCGCCCGGGCAGAGCGCGCCCCCGGGGGGAGATCGGGGAGCGCCCGATGCCGGGAGGCAAGAGCCGTTGACCCGGGACGCAGCCGTCCGGGCAGGATCGCAGAGCAGCAGACAAGTCCGCCGCCTCCGGTGCATGGGGCCCGGCTGAAGAGCCAGCATGGGCAACTGCGTGGGGAGACAGCGCCGGGAGAGGCCGGCCGCCCCGGGACACCCCCGCAAGCGAGCAGGTAACGACGAGGAAAGGAGCAGGGCCACGGGCGCCTCGCCAGTTGTCCCCCTCCTCGCTCGAGTTCTGGGCTTCCTAAGCGACCTCCCACGGCTCCTGACGCCTGGGTTTCCCCGATGTCTGCTCCGGAGCCAGACGGGAGCCCCCTCCCCAGCCCTGGTGGCCGGGGGAGCGGAGTTGGGGCAACTGCGAGCGCTGACCCGGCTGCGAGCCCAACTCGCTCCAACTGGGAAGCTCCGAGTGAGGGTGGGGGCGGGGGCAGGAAATGTTTGCAGACCGCAGCGGGGCCGCGGAGGGGAGGGGGACCCCGGACGGGGCCGCCGCTGGCCTGGCAGCTGGGTCGGGGTCGGAGGCTAGCCCGTCGGGGCACGGCGCGGGCGGCCAGTCGTCCCCAGAACTCGGAGCGAGCGAGAACTGCCGCTCTTCCAAAGACTGTCTGTGTCATTATCGGGCTGCAAATCGTGTCTGCCGGAATCCAACTGGCAAAAGCAGCGCAGGACTCTGGGAAAGAAATCTTTATTTTTCCCGCAGGGCTTTTTAGAGCTTCCCGGCTGTCTGGGAGTCTAGAAAAGGTGGGGTGTGGGGTGAGAATTGCGCTCGGGTTTGTTGGGATCCTTCCCAGCCTTGGGGATGGGATCTGCTCCCTGGTGATCCGCGAGGGCTGGGCAGCGCCTTCTCACTTTCTTGGTACACTCCTCCTATCCTGGCTCTTCGCCCTGGGAAGAGGTCTGGCGTTCGTTTCCCCGGGTCTTGTACTCACTTCCTTCTCTGAGAGTGTTGCAAGGACCTTCTGAGAATGATAAAAATCGTATACTTTAGAGTTGAAAGGGACCTTCAAAACTTGTGTGAAGTCCAGGTAGACTTACCTCCTCCTGTCTGTGTAGAAGCCCTGATCCAGAGAGGTTGAAGAACTGGTCCAAAGTCCCACAGCTAGTTAGCAGTGCAGCTGGGGCTAGAAAGCAGTCGCCTGTTCCACCCAGTTGCCACATATCCCTTTTTGTAAGAGGAGCCACAGGCATAGTATAGTCATTAATGAAGTGGAAACTCTAGTTGGAATTTCCTGTCTCCTTTGACACGGAAGGTGTGTTGCTTGGGTTGTGGGAACTGGGAAGGAAGATGAGGGGAAACGTGGGGGAAGCAGAGAAGGATGTCTGTGTGGTGGACAGGATGACTTCTGGAAGAAGAAACGTGTTTTTATGGGGGTGGGGGTCATAGGGTAAAATCTAACATTGAAATCCTGTTGGCAGCCTTGTCCATTCTGATTGAGAAAAATTGATTCTCAAACCCAAGGGCTGGCTGGCTTGCTTTTTTCCTTCCTTCCTTTCTTTCTCTCTTTCACTTATTCAGCGAATATTTATTATTTATGTGCTCAGGCCACACAATTGATTTTGTAGCATTTTTCACTGGTGACAACCCTCTCATACTTGAAACTACACCCCGCCTTCCCTTCTTGGCATTAGACTATCCTGGTTTTTTTCTCTGATCACTCCTGCTCACCATCACATCACCTCCTAGGTGTGGGTGCACCACGGTGCAGTTTGGCATTCTGTTCTTTCTCTCATACTCCCTCCCAGAGAAATTGGACACAGTCCCACAACTCTTTCCACTGGGAAGACCCCCTACACTGTATCTTCAACTATTATCTGTCAAACTCCAGATTCATACCTGTAAATGCCCACTGGACACACTGATGTAGTTATCCTTTGGATTCAACACTTCCAAAACCAAGCTCTGCATCTCTCCCTTCAGCAAGCTTCCCTTTACTCTTCCATTCTTGTGGTTGTCTAACTTCATACTTCGGAGATGTCTCTGCTGACTTTTTCTGCCTCCTAGTCAGTCATCCGCTGGAACCTGCTGGTTCTTCCTTGGCAAGTCATTCTAACCTGTCCCTTCCACTCTGCTTCACTCTCTTCTCATCTGAAGTCCAACCCACCTCCCAGGCTGAAGTTAGTTCTCCACCAAGGGCAAGTTCGTCTTCAGTCATTCATCCCATGCCTGCACACTGTGGTCCCTCCCAGAAGATGTTTATTAAATTAACCTGTTCTGAACGCTATAATGCTATGTTTAGAAAAAAATTTTTAACAGAAACTATTTTTTAAAATAAATCCTACGTCCAACGTGGGACTCAAACTCACAAGCCCAAGATCAAGAGTTGCATGCTCTACTGACTGAGTCAGCCAGGCGCCCCTGTTTAGTAGTCTTTTTGCATCTTTCCACTTCTGTTAAGAACTTTAACTTTCAAGGCTTTTCAGTTTGATCTGGTCCTTTCTTTTAAGGTGTGATTTCTTTGTCTTCCTCTGACATTAAAGCCACGCTGTTTGCTCATTGCCACTTCTTCCTTCTTATCAAGAACCTTTCTTCCTTTTGACGTTTGCCTCAAATCCCCTATCTTTCTAGAAGCACCTTGCCTGACAATTCTAACCCCCCCTTCTGAGAACTCCTGCAGACACATTATGCCACTTAACAATTATCTACTCCATATTATTAGTCATTTCTTTGATGTTTATAGTCTTATATCAGAAACTACATTGCAAGCCTTGAAGACCTGGGTTCTGTCTTAGCCTTGTGTGTCTGTCTCTCACACTCACTCATGTAGCCATATACATATACACATGCACACACACTCAGCACCCAGCACAATGACTTGTACGAGGAGCCACTCAAATATTTGTTGACTTTAGAATGTTAACCCGACTGTATCCTGTCATCTAGATTTTTCATGTAAACATTTTACTGAAGTATCTATCTGCATTTTTTTTTTTTTTACCTGCTAGTGTATCATTTTTTTCGATTCTGCAGGTCTCTCTGTGAATAAAGCTATTCATAAAGTCCAAAGCCAAGGGGAACTCTGTAGGATGACAAGTTTGGTATGAGGGAAGGAATCCTTCTTAACTTCACAGCATGCACCTGGCATTCCTGTAACATCTGCAGCTTACCCTTTGACAAAGACATAGTTTGATGTTGTAACACTAATGCCTAAAACTCCTCAACTCCCTTGGTGACTCTTACCTTTCCTTTGCCACTGGTGTAATGGGGAAAAATCATCAACAGAGAGCTACAACCTGAGTTCTAGTCCTAGGCCCGGAGCTGGGTGATACTGGGCAAGTCATCAAACCTCTCTCAGGTCACACTTTCAATGTCTCAGAAAGGAGCAAGGTTGTACAAAATCATTAGAGCTATTTCAACATCTTCATAAAGGCACCTGTTCAAAACTGCAAAGGTATTGCGTTGAAATTTCAGGCCTTGTTATGTCATCCTTTGGCCTTAGTTCTGTCTTCCTAGTCACTTGTTAGGTAAAACAGAGACATAATGCTCATTGGTCAGGCCATCTTGCATTAGCTATTTAGTTTTTAACTGTTACTCATAATGTATCCCCCGAAAGTCTAGGTTCCCCCTCCAGGTGCTGGGTGGTCCTTGCACTCTTCAGAGAATACTTGAAGATTTACTCATGTGGGGTGCTCCCACCACCACATATACATACCCGGGGTAGATCAATATCTCTGCCCCTGAAGTGGGTAAGGCAGCCCCTCCCCCAGCCACCCCAGGGAGAAATCGAGGTGGTAGAACAGGCAAGTCTCTTGCCCAGTTCTACCCTTTGAGAATGTGGCAGGGCTGAAACCCAAATATCTGACTCTGTGATGTGCCAGGCATATCCGCTTACATTCTGGAATCTCAAGCCCGGTGTGGACAGACCCAGGGCCCTGTTTTGAGCTGGTTGGGCTTGGCACTGTGGTTGCAAGAGAGTCTGCTTCTCATTGTGTGGGCTGCTGTGGCTATTCTTGAGGGAGTAATTGGGCAACTTCTCCATTTGCTCAGTAAATATTTACTGAGTGCCAGGCACCTTGCTGGCTGTGAACAGACATGGTTTTTGGCCACATGAAGCTTACAGTTTAGGGGTGGAGGGAGAAAATAAACCTATAGTCATACAAATTCCATGTGATCATACATGGAAATCCTGTATGATAATACATACGGTTATATATTACTATATATGCTGGTGACTCACACATTTATAATTTCAGCCTGTCCTCTTCAACTCTAGCCTTGTATATTTTGCTGGTGGTCAACACATTGGACGTCTGACAGGCTTCTCAGTTTAACACGTCCGAGACAAAATGAACCCGCACCCCCCACTCCTGCTCTTCCCAAAGTCTTCCCAGCTCAGCTCATGGTGATTTATTTCATCCTTCCATTGCCCAGGCCCCCAAAACACTACCCCAAAACACACCCCTGACTCCTCCCCTTTGTCTCAGCCCCACATCCATTTAATCAATAGGTCCTGTTGGCTTTGCCTTTAATATACCCAGAACCTGAGTCCCATCATCCGCACACTTTGGCCCTGCTCTAAGCTCCCATCAGTCTCTTAACTGACCTTCCTGCTTCCTCCCTTGTCTCCTGACAGACCGTTTTCATCGCAGCCGCGAGAGTGGTGCTGCAAAACCGTAAGTCAGCTTTTGTTGCTCCTGTGCTCCCCGTTTCATCCCCAGCCCTTGTGTTGGCCTACAAAACACGATACAGTTTTCACCAGCTTACCTTTCCTAAGCCATCTCTTGCTCTTCAGCCCCTGTTCCACACCCCCTGGTACTTGAACGGGGCCCTCCCTCCCTCGCCTCCTCCACATTCCTCCTCAGTCAAGCCCTCTCAGGCCAGCCTTTTATAAATCGATCCCCTTCCCTGTACTACCTGCTGTCAGCATTATTCCCCCCCCCCCGCCCCCTTCCCTGTTTTATTTTTCTCCATGGCAGTTACCATCATCTGACATTGGCTGCCTCTCCTACCGCATGTGGTCAGGGATTTTTATTTGTTTGCCCCCTGATACATAGAGCAGTGCCTGGCATACAGAGGTGCCTGATAAGTCTTTGTCGAATGAAACCAGTGTATCCCTAACAGTGTTGGGAAGGTCTGTAGAAAAGCAGGAATGAGCAGACCTGACTGCTCTCTCATCTCGTAGGTGTTAGGGCATGCATCTAATAAGGGGACTTAGGCTGCAGCCTCACAGTGCTATTCTGTTCCTGGGACTGGCTTCTCTGTCATCCCAGGCCTGGGTAAGGTCTCAAATACCTGGCATATAATTCCCTGTGATTTGGGAGCCTCTTGCTAGGAGATACAGGGGCTATGGCAGCAGAGCAGAGTGAAGTCCCCTATTAGGGTCCTAACCAGGCAGTGGCACTTTCTTGACATTTTATGTCATTTAATGCATCTGACTGTGGACCCCTCTTTCAGATACACACGGTATTTGTAGTCATTAACTCAAAGGGCAGGGATGGGGTGGTCTAACAGACTGGGAAGCAGGAAGGCGGGTGATGTGGATTCCAGGCCTCTCTCTGCCAAGTAACTTGCTGAGGAATTTTTAGAATCATAGAATTTTAGAGCTGAAAGGAACTTAAAGTTTTCTTTAACCTCTTTTTCTTTTCCAGCTATTAAAAAGAGAATAAAGGTATATCTGCTCCCTGCCGAGTTCACAGAAACGTGGTGCAGGCTATATAAAAACTGCATGGGCTCCTTTAAGTTTTCAGTGTGTTGGGGTCAAGGCATTGTAGGGAAGTGCTCAAGGTCAAGTGTATTCAAAAGGGAGGAGGTCTAGTCTGGCCCTTTCTTAAGTGGTGATCTTGGGCAAGTCATTTGTTTTGTGCTCAGTTGATCTTCTATTTTAAAAAATGATAATTATTTGCAGTTTACTTCAGAAAGATGTTATGGGGATAAAATAAATGAACACTGTTTTGAAAATTGGTTTCATGACTGCATGGTCTACTCAAATATGAGATCCCAACCCAGATCCTCATCTGGCATTGATGGGAAATAAAGCCGTTGGTTCTCTGCTTCTTCCTAATTATGTGTGCGGCTTTGATCTCTCTGAGCCTCAGTTTCCCCATTTGTACAATGGGATGACTGCTACCCTACCCACCTCCCAGAGAGGTTTTAAGAATCAAGTGAGATCCTGGATAAAAAGAGGTTTCGTGAACTCATAAAGTTTCTATTATCCTAGCCACAGGATTTTTACACACAAAAACCATGGCCAGTGATTTTCCCCACCAGAT